GTGCCTCCAAGTACTGGTCTGTCAGAGCAAAACATGCCGCAAATGTACCAGGTTTCGTTTTTCGCTCATAGAACCAACTCACCAGGACTCAAGCTTTCTAGGACAGTAAGTGTCGCTTGTTATCCCCGAGACTGCCTGCATTTGTATGTCCATCGAATGGTGAACGAGACTGTCGACGTACTGAAAAAAGAGCGGAAACGAAACTCCTTTTTCTTCTTGCGGCACTCAAATCGGACGCGAATCTCGAGTTTCGGGCTCGAGACACACAGAATAGTCCAACTATCCTCGATCTCATTCTTGTGACCAAGAGTGACGGATGGATTCCAAGTCTGATGAAAGGTGAATTCGCCTAGCTTTTTGTTAATGCGACTAAAAGCACGGACATTCGTACAACACAATCACTTTGTCATCAATTTTTCCTGACTGTTTTACTCCGTTGCCAGGATACAGCATACCTGCAGGTTGTCAAGCAAACGGTCTGGTTGCATGTAGCAGCCATGGCGCTACTGACACTCGCGTGAGAAGCAGATTGACGCTTAACCGCCAACTTGAGTCCCATTATAGCCGGGCACAAAACAATCGAGAGAATCTGCACAAAGAGACGCCAGAGTTCTAGTCTGCGGGACTCGAGCCCAAGCCAGCCAGGCATTTCGGCTTGCCTCGAAATGCCTGCCAAAATGGGTGCAAGGCTGAATTTCCAGAGACAAGGAAGTGGACATTGAGCCAGGCACTGTCGGGAAGCAAATTTGGAGGAAGTTAAAATTCTCCATTTCAGACCAATCCGGTTTGCAGAGCCATTCTCCTTCTGACAGAACCATCTCTTCCAAATGCGGTTCTGTAAGAAATTGAACTGAATTAGGCCGTCTAGTCTGAATTTGTAGACCTTTGCAACTGTTGAGCAACGGCAGTCGGGTCTGGTATAGCTGAATGAGATGTATTCACCCAATTTGATTTAAGGTGAAGAATACTGGTAGAAGAATTTTCCCACAATGATATGAGTTGAGCTGAGGGATCCATTCAATTTCACATAGCCTTGCTTTGCCAAAAGTTGTTCTTATTCAGGCCTTTTTTTGCCATATCATATTCTTTTGGTGGAATTGTCGATAAAGGAAACATATATTTGCTATAACAATCAACTACTGTACTTTATTTTTCGAATTAAGTATTGTTTTCGTGACTAACAGTAATTCAGTAATATGAGATGTATTCACCCAATTTATTTTAAGGTGATAAAGGAATGGTAGAAGAATTTTCCCACAATGATATGAGTTGAGCTGAGGGATCCATTCAATTTCACATAGCCTTGCTTTCCCCAAAGTTGTTTTCATCTAGGCCTTTTTTTGCCATGTCATATTCTTTTGGTGGAATTGTCGATGAAGCAAACGTATATCTGCTATGAAAATCGACTACCATACTTTATTTTTCGAATTAATTAATGTTTTTGTGACTACCAGTAAATCAGTAAAATGAGATGTATTCACCCTATTTCGTTTAAGGTGATGAAAGACTGGTAGTAGAATTTTCCCACAATGATATGAATAGAGCTGATGTTTCCATTCAATTTCACATTACAATGCTTTCGCAAAAGTTGTTCTCATCCAGGCAACAGTGGACTGCATTTTCGATCATTCTGGATGGAAACAACTTTTGGGCAAGCAAGGCCATGTGAAATTGAACGGATCCGTCAGCTCTAATTATATCATTGTGCGAAAATTCTACTACCAGACCTTCATCACCTTAAACAAAATTGGGTGAATACTTGTTTACGGGTAGTTTCGAAACTCTACTTACATACGAAAAGTAGTATAGCTATGACCAATATTC